TTGTGGGTGCCGGACGTGTTAATTTCCACAATTATACCTATACAAAGAAACAAATACCGCAATAATTGAATTTTTCAAAGGTTTTTACATGTTGCAGCTTCCCAGACAATTAACGTATTTACAGCGCAAAGTTAATTTTTTTTCAGCTTAAGTCGTTGAAAGCAATTTTTGGACTTGGAGTAGGTGCGCTTGGTTTGAACTATAGGGATAAATCTGCACAAATTAATTTTGTCAAAGGAAAATTGTTTCTACCTTCTTTCGTCCCAGGATTTTATCAAATAAATCCCATTTCATCATGAAAAATTGGTTAAAAATGAGTTTTTAGTTCCGCATTCCTCTACATCTGGTCTGCACGTAGTTAGAGCCGAAAACAGTTTCATCTATGATGAAACAGGCTGCGTGTGTTTTCAGTTTTTCCTCTCCTAATCAACGTTTTTATTTGGTAAACAATCTGAGAAAATCGGTATGTTGAACTGAGAAAATACCATAAAAATCCGCCGTTTATATTTTTAGAGTATGTTTCCTTGGCATTCAAAATCGATAAATAGTTCAAAAAGATATTTTTAAAAATGTTTTCGGCTTGCGCTGGCTGCATGTAAATTATGCAATTAATGTTTTTTTTTTCATAAATTGGCATTTTTTGCGAAAGCACTGCCTGCCTCCATTTGAATTCATTAAAAACGTGTTTTACTTTCATTTTCCTGTCCTTCAGCATTTCAAAGTTTGATATTTGAATTACCAAAATTTCATTCCAAGCTTCTCCACAGCTAAAGAGCTAAAACGACCCATAAAATAAAAAATAATGACGAATCACTTATTTTTGGCATAAATGTTCGCCGCCTTGGGAATCTACCAAAAAATACAAGGATTAAAATACCCTGAGAATATTTTCAAAAATTTGTAAATACCATTTGATAAGGATTAATATTTATAAATTAATCAATTACGCTGTGAACTCAAGGGATAAATACTTAAATATTATTGCATCATCTATGTGCTTAAGGCTTTGTTCAGCGTTTAACTTTCAAATAGGATTCCTGCGATCACGATGTAATTGCTAATTCATATTTACTTCAAAGAAAGTGGAATGAAAGAAGTGGAAACAAAAATGAATTAAATTGAATATGTTTTGTTATTTTGATCTTAACTTATCTTAACACAGTGTTATCACCAGGTTAATGCACGACATCTTGAGCAAAGCAATTATTAGTCAACGTTTTATGGTACATTGGAAATATGTTTTGAGCAATTAGAGTGCAACATAAGCATTTGATTATTTATCGATTTTATGAGCGATTGTAACATAAGCCGGTTGACCCCTTTGATAAACCTTGCAATAAAATTTATTCAATTAAAACACCTTTTGTTACACAAATCAAGATCCTGAAGCAAATGAATTAATGGAAAAATAATTTGTAAAATTTAATTATATTTTTACTCTACCAAATGCCCTTACTTTACTAATTCCCTTGATTTTTTATCACCTCTTTGAAGACGATTGAACCGATGAAAATAAGGGTTTTTATGAATTTGTCTTTGTCAACCAACTGTGGATTTTTCGAAAATGACTTTATGTGCTTAGGAAGTGAGAAATAAACATACACAAACAACAGTTTAATCATTGATGTACATCATACATCAAATAGAACAGGAATTTTCAATTATTTTGTCCGAATAATGACCAAAACTGACCCTGGAGGCTAATTATGTTTTTGAAACATCTGTAGCATGACCATTAAATCTAAGCTTTGATTATATCAGAACATACACATTTTTGCTTTTATAACTGCGAGTTCCATTGCCTGTGATGGAACTTTCTGATATGAATGAATCTCTGAAACCAACAGTGAACAATTATGAACATTTTTAGCCAAATTGTGGGTATAATATGTGGTTCCTATCAATGTAAATTTACTTAGACTGCAATTTCCTTTAATAAATTAATACAAATAGAATTATCTAATCTTGCGCTCAGATACACTATTATTAATTTATTGGAGATACTTATCTATCAGATAAAAAAATTAGGTTTTCCTGTGTAGACTGATCTTGTGGTAATCAAGGCTAATTTATCTGAAGAAGGAAACGTTCAAGTCTTGAACTTTGGAGTTAAACGGTTCTGCGAAAATTTCCATTTTTCCAAAAAATCGACCCCCACCCTTGGAAAAATTGCGGCCAAAAAATTTTTACATGTGGGTTTTTTGAGTTCAATCGATTCCTTTCGACGTAAGAAGGTCACAAATATTCCTTCACCACACGTTTTTTGTGATGCATTGGTTTTATGGTCGATTGTTTGAGTGCACAATAGTTCTAAATTAAATTTTCCCTGTTTAATTTGAAAACCACCAATTGGCTTGAATTAACAAAACGCCAGTAAATTTTATTTGAACATTTTCAGGATAATTTGACGGTGTAAAATTGCCATTTTGTCAACATACTTTGAAGCTTCTATAGAAACAATGTTTGTCATCATCACACAAAAGGATTGTTTGCCATATCAAAAAAAAAAAATTATTACAGCCTAAATTAATTTGTACGTTTAGTTGTATATATTTGACACCTTTTTATTAGAAACAATAAAAACTACAAATATGGATATGTAGATGAATTGCGAACAAAAATTAATAAACAAAAACTTAACAGAACGCCAAAGTGCCACTGAGTCAAATATGGTACGAAATCGTCGAATTGATTCGAAAGAACATGTCTATATTTGTGATTAAAGATAGCAAACATATGCTTTGATATGCTTCTGCTTTAATCACAAATTATTCGTGAGTCATTAACATTATGCGTGTTATTCATACATAAAGGCTGATAATAAATAGTACTGCAGTAAATGTTTATTAAAACTACAGTCCGCATATGTTGTATGCTGATATCGGTGTTCAAACTCATTTCATTAATGTCACGTTTTGTTTGGAATGTTTGGTTCAAAGAATCATTTGCACAGACGAAATTTACAGTTTTCTATTCCGACAAAGTGTTCTTCTGTACTTCCTGGCACAGTTAAACAGATAATATTTACCTTTAAGTCATAAAAAGTGCAATATTAATTAACATTGTTTGCAACTAAGAATGAATTTTGTATGTAAATATAAAAACTAATAAATTTTACACATTTCTACAGCTAAAAATATCTTAAGTTGCTAATTCAGGTGATTTAAAATCTTTTGTATAAACACTGTGATTTTCTAAGACAAATGCATCTTCCCCTTAAAGCTTTCTTTACGGCATTTCTAGTAGAACCGTTTCTTTGGAAGGACGCTAAAACTGCCTTCAGTTATTGATTTATTAATGATTTTTATGACAGTTTTCTTTAAAATGCTCAGCATTTTTAATTAACGGGAAAGCTTTTACGCATCATTAGTTCAACTACGACAAAGGTCGCTTTAAGGAGCATGAAAAATAGATTGACTGAATTGTTAATCCATTTGAGGCGATTGCATTATAATCACTAATTTTCCCATGGAAYATCAGAATGTATTTTGTAAAAAGGTCWGGTAACAATTTCTACTTTTCTGTCTGCTGAATTATTAATTGTCGACTTRACTATATTCTATGATTTTTGAACCTTTGTGATWCGAAAATTTTAATTAAATTARTTTAARAKATTATGTTGTGCTTKGAACTATTTGCCATTATAARWTTCTATGTACAGTAACTTCGGTATTTGCAGTCTTAATCTCTTAATTAAGTAATGTTTTCCTCGCAAACGTGATGGAAAGCTGAAAATTAGTCTTCTTAGCTGAAAAATCTAATCCTGTCAGCGATTGTTTACGAGATTTAGACCAGGAATAGAATGTGTTTAAATTTAAAAATAATCCATCACCTCTTGTGATGATCACTTGATGGCTGACTAGTAGGAGAAGTTATCTGACGAAAAATTATCGGTGAAAATTATAATTTTAGGAGTCCGGCGATATGAACAAGTTTTATTTGCTCATCAATGTTAAATCAACCACAATAACCTGATGTGTGTATTCAGTGTTTTCGACCAATACGATTCGTGTATTTTTTTTTAGTTT